ACATGCCTTTAGATAAGCAGGAGTAAAAGATGGTTCAGAGTAAATACATGCCACTGGACAAATGATGGGAAAGCCTAGGGAGGTGTTAAATCCATATGCCTAAACTATGATCCTAAACTCAGCATACAATGGAAAGGGGAGAGCCAGCAACTTTTCCCTTCCTAAATTGGCATTCTCCACCTTTCTGTTAAAAGACAGTCTTCTCTAGCATCAACAAGATTTAATAAGCCAGAAAAAGAACATTAGTTTTAATTTGCATCTCACAGATATGTGCTCGGCTAGAGGCTGGCCGCCAAACTTTAGTCCACATGTTAATGAGCTGAATAAAAAAACTGGGAACACCAACTGCCCTTTCAGCAAGGACAAATGGTAAATGCCCAAGCAGTCCAGCATAGCCACTGTAGCCTAATTAAAAATTTCTTGGTTTCTACCTAGCCTAATGGATTTTCAACAAATTATACATTGTTGTGTATAACTTCAAGAGAATATTCTATACCAAGGGACTAGAAGAACCTCAATGAGCATATGGCATAGACATCTTCCACACCACTGGTTTATTCAGTGAGCGCCATTACCATAGAACCAGAGTGCACTGCTACATCTTCCATCAATCATGTTTTTAGGTGTCTGTGCAAAGCGTTGGGGCGGGCTGACCTTGGCCATCAGCCAAGCAGTGAATAAAGCCACCAGTCCCCCACCACCACAGTGGGATAGGGGAGAAAACTGCAACAACAGTAAGAAAACTTAAGGGCTGAGATACAGAAAGCTTAACAGAGGAAGGAAGGAAAAAAACCCAACCTACCCCACACCAAAACCAACCAAACACACACAAGTGAAGGTAAAGAAATTGCTCACCGCACAGGTGACCAGTCTCCAAACAATGGACACCTTGGGAGCAAACCAAACCAAAAACCAACTAAGCAAACAAAACACTCATTTTTATTTCTGACCAAGAAAACATAGAGCATAGAAAATGTGTTTGGTCAGTTGGGGTCTGATGTCCCAGTTGTGTCACCACCCAGCCTCTTGCCCACCCCTAGGTTACTCACTAGGCAGGCAGGGTGGGAAACTGAAAGACTTGATGCTGTGTAAGCATCACTCAGCAACAGCAAAAATACAGTTCTAGTATCAACACTGTTTTAGCCACAAACCTAAAGCACTATGACTAGGATGCAAGTTAACTCATAAACCCAGTATAAGAACATACTCACATTGCCTTGTGCAGAGACAATCAGCTTCCTCAAAGAGGGATAAGCATAAAGAATACCCTGACTGTAGATCCTCACAGGGATTTTGCTTGCAATAAACAGGAAATTGCTCATTTCTGTGATGTGATCAGGTGTTTAAAAAGCAAGAATGGGTGAATACAGGATGACTGACTGTTGCTCATAAATTAATAAGGAGACACATGATAAAACTAAACATTAGGGTGAAAACAATAGCAAGTGAAATGCCTTCCCTATGTAGAACATAACTAACTCTGGGAATTCATTGCCACAAGATGCCCAAAAGACAGAAAGTTCAAGTACACTCAGAAAATAATTAGAGGAATTAATGGAAGTCAGATACTTTGGTAGTTACTGAACTCAAGAGCTTAGAGACAGATCATCAGTTATTTAAATCACTGAAAGGTAATATGAAAAAGAAGGCATCACTGTATTTCCCCCCACTCCCTCTTTTTTTTTTTTCAGTACATCAACTAAGCACCTGCTACTGGCACTACAAGAGAGAGACACTAGACATCTTATTTGCAGACACAGCTACAGGATGAGATGACAACAGAAGTTCTGAGGATTACAACTTGTGATTTAGGAGACTAATGTCTGTCTCTAAACCTGTTTATGTGTTCAACCCTTGTCTCCTTCTCTTCTTAGGTCAGACTTCAGTTATTGTATTTCTAACAAACTTCCAACTACACATTATAGATTTTTTTTTAAAACTGCTTCAATTAGATAATTTTGTCCAAATTAGAGATTAGATTTCTGGGCTTGGTTTTTTTTCCCCTCTTTTCTCCAAACATTAAAGCATAATTTAGTTTAAAAAAAAAGTGTGTAGGCTGGAAAGTGCTCAACACCAACTTCAACAATTGTTACTGAAAACAATTTACCAGGAAAACTTAAAGCTGTTATTTGGAGTAATAAGAACCTCCAGCAGATTTTGTAGTGGGGAAAAAATATACGTGTTCAGTACTCAAAACACTAATGTTAGCCTTAAGTAATCACACATTTAACAGCTTCCAAATAAACTTCACATTGTAACTATCCAGCCACAGACAGCATGTGCCTTTCCTTCTCCCAGCAGCTCCCCACCCCAACAGCAGCTTCTATAACTAAGAGCAATGAAACATACAGGAAGAATGGTGACCAGACTTGAGCTTAGGTCAGTATTTATAAAGGATAACTGTCGCAGAAAAATATGGACCCAGTCAGAGATCAATGTGATCAGACCAAAGCTGTTTATTGCAAAGCCTTAACTCTTTATATACTATTGCTTACAAACACAGTGATTTGGCATATTATGATTGGATACGTCTTGAAGACCCTTAGCGACTAACATATAATTGGTTAAGCACAGGTGTGAGAACTTGACCTCGAAAGCTTGCCAACAGGCCACAGTTCTCATAACTCGGTGAATTCCAGCTTCTTCTTATCTTGCTTGCTTAAGCTTCCTCAGGCCTCTCATGGCCTTGCTGTATCTTGCGGGATTATTCAGAGTTTATGTACCAATTATCCATTCTCCCGTGAGAACAGTCTCCACAGATAACTTTTTTTCAGAGAAAGAGTTGCAGTTTAACAAGAACTGCAGAAATACACACTGGTGCTTTACAAAGGAAGAATTTTCTATTAGTACTGCATAAAAAGATTTTTCAACTTTGTTCTTCCTGACAATAGCATTAAGACTACACTTCCTAAATCTGTAAATGATATTGAGATGCAAGGGACCGTAACTATTTTAGAAGCCAAACTACAAATTATAATTATCCTGAAAGAACTACATCCAACATGGACAGAAAACATTTTACATTAAAGCAAGAGTAAGAACTGCAAAAACAGGATGCCAAGAAATAAACGCAGTAGTTTCAGTTTTGCAGAAACGCATCTACAGACTACAGCATGTCATTTGTCATGCTGAAAATATGGGAAGACATGGAAAGATGGGAAACTTTAATATTTAAAGACAAGAGGGAGGCCTTAAAATATATTAAGTTGGCCCTCCACTAGTCAGTATTTAAAGACTCCATTAGAGTACTGTTGACATGGCTGTGTACCCTGTCTCTAGGAGGATGCAGTGGAGGATAAGAAAAATGACCAGCAATTTAGAAGAAATTACTGACTAGGAAAGATATACTCAGATTAGACAGGTCACTGGGGGGAGAAACACACTGACGTATTTCAACGACATACATGTCAGCTGCAGAAAGGAAGGAACAAGAAAGCAAAGGCACCAAAAAGAGCAATGTGTGCTCCTCATAATTTTAAAATTGGAAAGCCTACCTCAGGTTTAGCTTCCAAGAAAGCTCCATAAACATAGAACTGTCAGAACAAAATTCTGCCATTTGACAATTTCTTATCTTCTCTCTGATTCAATGAAACTAGTGATCTCACCTCTTCCAAAGGTCAAGGTAGCTTTTAGAGAAAACTGAGCAGGTCTAATATTTAAACCAACTTATACAATGTTTAAAGGCCCTAGTTGGGAGTTAGTCAGTGTTCCCATTTAAACGGCAAGAGAGTTCCTCCAAATACCTACACCTAATTCCAGGATGATGTAAGTTTACTCTGTCATGACCAGAACCATGTCAGATCCACAGGAAATTATTTTATTACGGTGCCTGTTGAAAAGCAGTGTGTGTTTAGTTAGACTCAGCAGCTCACTGATATAATTAACACTGTCTTCAGGTGAAAGCCAGCTTGCAAGACCTCACGGTTGGTTTTGTTTTTTTCCTCTTAAAAATTTATCTCTGCAACCTACCATGTGGACATAAACCTTGCTGTATCTTGTCTGGAATTGCTAGTATTTTTTTCTACTCATCGACTAGACTCAAGTCGAATCCATTCTCAAGAAGGTAACTAAGCTTGACTGCTAGATCCCTTCTCTGCAAAAGCGAAAATTACCAGTCCCGTTTCAATAGTACTATTTCAGAGTAAATTCTTTAAAAAGCCTGAAAACTGGAAGCAACCTACAAAAATGTTAGCATATTAAAAACAGCAAATTATAACTTCAGGACTCATAAAAACTTTTAAATAAAGGCACTTTTAAATAAATGCCACATCCTCCTGGAGCACCTGAAGGGTAAGCCTTAGGACACTAGAAATTGTCAGCACAAAGCTGCCAGTCCACCACCACCAACCAAAATGAAGCAAGTAGTAGTTGAAAGGGGAAAACACTCCCCACGACCACGTGCCTGTTTTGCACTCTTCTAGTTTTCTACATTTATTAGTCCAAGTAGTAAAAACTGAAAGTACTCAGGCCCGTTCAACACTTGTGCTCGCTCCTAACTTAACAACAGTCCTGCTATCCCCGCTTCAATAAGCACTCCGAGGCAAGACCTGAAGCAGAACGAGAGGAGAACTGGATCCGGCCTTTATTAGTGAACTCGTATCACTCGCCTGGCAGACGGCAGACCTCGGCCTCGGCCCCGCTGTCGGACCAGACAGCACGCCGCCCGCCCCCGCCGAGAGGTGTCAAACTCTGGCTCCGGCCACCGGCCGCGCTGGCACGAAACAGCCGGACTCCCCCGGCAGCGCAGCCCCCCTCCTCCCGCCCACCCTTTCTCCCTCGGGGGAGGCGGGCAAGACCCACGCACTGACGCCGGGGTACCGCCAGGCAGGGTGGTCCCACTCCTCACCGAGGGAGCCAGACAGGGGCTCCGCGCCAACCGCGGCGCAGAGCAACGTTCGCCCCGTCTGCCGAAGCACGGCGAGCTCCATCCACCCACCCACCCACAGACCACCCCGCCAGCCGCCGATCCCCGACCCCTCCCCGCTAAACCCGCCGCGCACCTGCCTTCCGGCCCGCCGGTTCCGTTGCCGCGAAGAGCCGGCGCGGAGCGACACTGCCGTAAAGCGAGCGGGCGGGGCGAGGCGAGGCGAGGCTGTCGCAGTCGTTGTGCTAGGCTGTACGGCAGTCTCCTTTCCTCTCTCCGGCTCCTGTGCAGCGCGGAAAGCCGGTGCTGCCCGCAGGACTACCTCGGGCACAGACCAGTCTCCATCTTCCTCCTGGCCCGCGGCCTTTTCTGTATAGGCAGACACCGTATTGCGGCTGCGGTGCCTCCCGACCCGGGTGGTTGCTGTGTGATCAAATACCCCTCAGGGCTGCCCCGTTAGGCCCTCGAGTTTTCGCGGGAATGGATTTCTGCGGTTCTCGGTCCTCTGGTCTTCACGGGCTCGGCCATCCCTGCACACCCACTGCTTCCCAGGCCATGTCTGCACACTGATGCCTTACGTGGTTTTCCACAGTGGTGTGTGTTCCTGATCAATGGGGTTTCTAATCGAAAAGCACCGTGGTAAAATGATGCTAAAGACAGCTGTGCATCCCTGGCAGCGTTCAAGGCCAGGCTGGACAGACCCTAAGGTGACATGGTTTAGTGGGAGGTGTCCATGCCCATAGCAGTGGGATTGCAACTAGGTGATACTAAGGTCCTTTCCAACCCAAAGCATTCTATTATTCTATGAAAGAATGAGCAAGGTCAGATAATTTTAAGACAAAAACAGATTTTAAGATAATGCTCACTTGAGTGCTTGTATGTCTGTATGCAAATACATCTGGACTCTTAAGAGTCCTCCAACTGGGCAACTTAGTATTCTGATGATTTATTTCTGACTTCTGGTTTCTCAAGTGTCTTATCTTGTGCTCTGCCTTGCAAAGCATGTAACAGCACTATCTTCTCGGATCACTGAACTGCTTTCATCTATGCAATTCTACCAAGTATTCTCCTCATGTAAAAAAAAGCAAGCTCTCAGATACACATGCCTGTTTTTGTATTTGTACAATTTTCCAACTGTTCAAAAAAGATGCCTCCAGGAAAATGGTAACATATTCCATTCCTCACTAAAAAGAAAGAAACATACGTAGGTTAGGGGCTTGGTAGACAGTCATGTGGAACTGGTTATGTTTCAAGAACTCTTAAATCGTTTGACTAGTCCAAAACTGGAAATCTTGAATTTTTGCCACCTCTATTTAGTCATTGTGTTATTAAAAATCTTCATAGTGGGCTAATAAAGAGTAAGTAATTAAGCTCCCATAACTTGATGTTAGATATCTCAGGGTTTCAGTCTTTGTATCATAATTTTGCAACCATATTCTTAAATCAAATGGGCATGTTTTATAAATGCAGTATTTTGTATTTCTAATGTACACGTGTCAGGCAAAGTTAAACGCAATTAAAAAAGAAAGCAGATCCTCACAAATTCTTCCAATACTCTTCAGTTTTTAAGGAAAGTTTTTATATTCTTTCTGAGGACAAATGTTAATGCAGAGTAAGGGCTAGTCATTGGCATATTGCTTTCCTTAAGGTAGGGGGGAATTTCATTACAGACTTGTCAATCAAAGCTGTTGCTTAACAAACACTACAGTTCTACCTTTCCTTCCTAGCTTCTTGAAACATGCAGTTCACATAAAAGCAAGTTTCCAGCCTAACCAAACGAAGACTGTTTCTTATCATAGAAGAGAGACAGTCAATACTGAGGCAATATGTATACTTCTGTCTATAGAAAAAAAAAATAGTATAATTTGAATGTTTTCTAACAGATAAATAGCAATAGAGGGATACTTAATAACTGTTTTTTTTTTAATAGACATTCAGGATGAATTTTACAAAACTAACCTTGGCAAGGAATAACTTGGCTTTGCAAGGTCATGTTACCCATGTATCTCATAAGATCACAGGCTTTGTAGCTTTGTCTGTGTTGTGCTCAATATCTTATCAGCAAAAGAGAACTCACCATATATATGATAAGAATTGACTTTTAGCCCAATGAATGTTTTAAGAGTTTAACAATCCAAGTTGTCTCCTTGAGAAAAGTCTCTCTTTTATAACACAGCAAAAACCTTCCTACTATCTACCCTTTTCTTTTGTGTCATGGTTACTTTTAAAATGTTCCTCTGGGTCCTGAGGGACCTATTTGTCCCTGTCAAGGAGAATGCAGGAGTGGCTTACAAGATGTCAGCAACATGAGGGCTTCCCTCAGGATAATTTTCCCCCTGGGAGGGTTCTTTTTGCCAGGAGGGTCATAATTTTCCTGCTTTCTTCCTCCCATCTTGTAACCTGAATGTGTTTATTTTTATATGTTTTCTTAACACAATCTGCCTTCTCAATGGCTCCCACTTTAAGTCTGGGAGTTTCCCAACAAGCCTCCCCAGCCTCAGTTGACAGAAATTACTATCATTTTGTACAAACTGACTGCCTCAATTTGTCAGACTACTACCAGATGTGGTATTCACCAACCTTAAGATAAAACACATCATGCTGTAGTCACTTGACCACTAGACAAGTGTTAAAGCAAGCTAAAACCAACTCAGGCTGAGACAAGCCTAGGCAAGTTCTGAGATTGCTCTGTCAGGTCAATACAAAGCCTGAGGTCTACTAGTTAGAAGAAGCAAAACAAAACAAAACTCCACATTTACTGGGTTATGTTTGTTTCCTCAGATTGGAAAATGTTGAAAATTTACATTTTTGTGGCTCTTTGATTTTTCTTTACTTTCCTGTTGTGTTCTTTCTTTGGCTGTTATACCTCTTGCAGATGCAATAAAAAAGTCTAAAATAGCCTCTTTCTGTCTTTTGCATAAAATCCTTCCAGCATAGCCATGTGAGTTCTAACTTGAATTTTAGACAACAGTTTCAGTGAAGTAGGCCCAAAATTGTAGGATCTGGGAAGCAAGAAATGTATCTGACTTTAAGTTAATGAAATATCCTTCAAATTTACATGAGAGTACTCACTGTATTACTTGATGTGTTTCTTAACCAAGCAATATTGTGTTCAGAGTTAAACAAGAGTATTTCACAGAGAACAATGGGTACTCTAAGACCTAATCCTAGTTTATGGTAACTGTGAGTATTATTACTTGAATTATTATCTGCAAATGCATTGCAATTTATGGCCTACTGAATTGATTCTTTTATTTCTTTTTGACAAATAAAAACTGATGTTAGTATGTGAACCATGAATTTTATAGCTACTTGAAGTGTACTTCAGATTCAGAAAAGAAATGGACTAGTAATTAGAATGACCTCGTTTTTACTTTGACAATAGAAAACTTATTAAATTAACTTGTTCCAAATAATTCAATGAATTCAGCCTCTGTTGCAGTTGTAAGACGAACTTGACAGACATCCTTGACTCGTTGATCTCTGCTGTGATGAGAGTATCAAGCATTCAAAAATAAACTTCCCTCTGCAGATGCCACTGTTAGCAATGCTGGGAAAAGAATTTTAAATCAATGTTATTATGTGAGAATAATGCAACTTCTGCAGAAAACACCCAGAACCTCTATTGCCCATGATTACAAAGCAATCATACTGTGCATGGCTGCAACGTCAGTGCTAGCAGAAGCTGGTATATTGGAAATGCTGTCACTCAAATGAACTATAATTCTTTACCGTCATCTTGTTCCCATGGCTTTTAATACTTTATTTGAAGGTCATTGTGGTGTTTTGACCCTGGCTGGACACCAAGTGCTCACCAAACCTGCTCTATCACTCACCTCCTCAGAGAGACAGAGAAGAGATAGTGTTGCCCAAAGAAGATGTTAATGCTCCATTACTGGCAGTGTTTGAGGTTAGGTTGAACAAAGCCTTGGGCAACATGGTCTAGTGTGAGGCGCCCCTGCCCATGGGGGGCACATTCATAAATGAATGTGTGAAAGGGATTGGTAGCTGTGAGAAACTGGCAATGGTCTGCTGTAGCTTAACTGTTCACTGTTTACACAAACTGCTGGCTTATGTGCGTGTGTTTGTAAATCTTAACAAAGAGAGGAAAAGGAACTCTTATATTTTATATTTTATTTAAAAACTAATTTGGGATTATATCCAGATTATTGTTGTGTAATTTTTCATATTAAGAGGTTTCTCAGAGGCCTGTGAAGCTTCTAAAGAAACACAAAATGACACAAGATGGGATAGTGCTATAGGAATTTGTGTCACACATACTGCAGGGGCGGAGAAGGCTGTTCCTACCAGCAGCAAAGCAGAAACCTCAGAGACATGATAAAGTAATTTCTAGCTAAGGATTTGTAAGTCCTGCTTAGTCACTAACTTGGAGAATGACTTCAGGTAAAGCATTTTGAAAATTATTAATTAAATGAATATTCCAACATATCAGACACATCAACATTTGTCCTATTTGGAAGTGGAATTGTCAATTAGAAGGAAAAACAAAGTGAAGGCGGGAGACACTTAGAAGAGTGCTGCCTGAGAACATTGAAAGACAGAGCTGTCCCACTATGCAGTGACTAATATCTTGTGCTTTGTAAATTGCTGAAGTTGGTGTGCTCACTTCTGACTTAGAATGGTTGGCATAAATTAATCAGTAACTAGTTTTGAATAGTATGCCTTTTGTTATGGATACCACTGATTTCCACCTATTTTTCAGGGGAATCTTATTAGCCAATAATAAGTACTTCTATTGAAAAAGATGTTGAGATGCTCCTGCTAAGATTATTTCTTTGTACCTTATAAAGGATTCATAAGAATTTTCCAGGTGTCCTTTAACACACATAAAAGTGCAATTATCCTTTTGATGTGATCATCATGCTCCTTCTCCCTTTTGAAGACTATTCAGGGAACCAATTATGTATATTGGAGACATTTGTGTGAACTGAACAGAAAGACCCTTTGACAGAGTGATCTTATTTAAAGTGTTAATAGTTTGACTTAAGGGATATGATGCTCTTTTGTCACATGGTGTATATCTTTCTGTTTTGGTTACGTGGTAAAAAGCATGTCTGCACATACAGAAGAGAGCACAGGGAGACAGTGGCTGGCAGGGCTACCTGAACTACCAACTTTGAGGACTCCCTGACCAGACCTCTGCCAGGACATCCCAGGAGAGCCTCGGCCATGGTCCAGGGTGACACCCACAAAAATAAGTCTGGAGCGCCTT